AAAGATTGGTTGAGCAGTCATGTGGTTTTCAGAAGAAATTCTCTGACTTTGGTTTCACATGTATTGAACAGGATGTTGTTGGCAAGGCAGAGCAAGTTTATTTGAATTGCACATTTCAGACACAAAGGCAGTTTAATGTGCTTTACATAAATAAAAGCAAAAAAGAACATCAAATGGAAAAATAAAGACAAAGTGCGTAAGAGTGAAAAACATACAAAAAAGGTACAAAGTATAGTAGCTTCAAGAAACAAAACTAAAAATTAAAACGAAATACTAACGAAGTACTAACACTAAACAAACATATAACAGCAAAATAAAAAACACAAAAAGAAAATTAAAGATAAAGGTCTTAAGTGTGTGTTAGAATTAGCTTATTAAACGTGCAAGGCAATGAAAATGAACATATTCTGAAAACAAAACGCCCTTCAGTAACACACACACTGTATGACTGACTTTCTGACATCATAACTTCACCAAGATTTACCAGTGTTGTTAAGGTAGCATAGCAATCTGGGTTTTTTTTTCTTGCTAACTTACTATTAGACTAGAAGGTAACCAAGATACTGTCTTTTAAATAGACTTACTGATATCTTTGTAAGACTAAAACCTTCTGCTCATACACAGCTGGGACATTCCATCAAAATCAGACCGAAGGATGGGGTGAAAACCTTTAACTCTGACTCCCTATCAGTGACAAGTAGGCACATTTAGATTTTTTTAGTTTTTTATTATCTCATAGATGTGAGATGCTTCAAAGTTAGCATTTTTCCTAGGCAGCATTAGGTTTCTTTGTTGATAGACTGACAACAAACATAAATACACAAGCTTTTAATTATTCCAACAATGAAGATTTTTTACATTTTGATTCAGTCCCATATTTCTAATGTTGTAGGGATGTTGTGAGGGCATGAATTTAACATAAGCTTTTTCATGGCATTGTTTAAGTCCACATGACAAACATTTTGGGCTGGTTGCCCAGACACGGTCTAAGCTAAATGACAGTGCCAATGGTGATTCACCACACCTAACCCGTTTTAGTCAAGGTTTAGTCTTAATCTAGGTCTGGATATAAAGAGCATTTTTTTTTTTGGATGCTGAGGGTACTTCCAAGATTTTTTGATTTACTATGGTCATCAACTGTTCTTTTACAGGCCAGCCTAAGAGAGTCATCATCTCTTGAGTCACTGACTGACTGACACTAATAGATCACTATAGTCGTGCGTCATTCTGTAGTCATTATGTCCATTTTAGGAACTCCGGATCTGAGCTCAATTTCTCTATGGCTAGAATGAATAAAGATTTCGAAAAAATTGCCTCTATCGCACCCTGTGTTAAATAAAAATGTTCAGAACCTGATACGTTTTGTCCTGTGTGCATTTTTCATCCGAATATCACTGGATCAGAATTATGAGGTTGTTAAAGAGCTGTAATACTGACATTGCTACATGCAAGCTAAAGCTATTGCGCATCAATTAGATGTCACTAAGCTACATGAAAGTAAGGCAGACTGTGGTGGTGTTCTGATGAGTTGTGCTACCTTATCAAAATGTCCTACCATAGCTCATATTTATAGGTATACTCGTAAATAAAAAACCTCTGGGTGGGATATTTTGATAAGCTAAAACTCCTTATCGAAAAATACTACTAGTGTTAAAACTACGAGGCTGAATTGAGCTTTCCAGCTTCTTGTTTGAATGTTCCCATTCCACCTTAAATAATCCAGTTGTGATTAACTATATCACAATATTTTTAGAATTACCTCTTTGTAAAGCATTTACCAAGTTAACGTTAGCAAGCTCTAAGGCTGTAATGCTAGTGCTATTAGCATGTATGCTATTAGCTAGTGAACAAGTCATTATATTTTTACACCAATGGGAAGAAACGCATGCTTGACTCTACATATGATTCTGGATAACTGTAGACATTTGTGTGTGTGTGTGTGTGTGAGAGAGAGAGAGAGTATCAGCATCTTAGATGATCATCTTATTGCTACTGTCAGTCTCTTATTATACTAATTTACACCTAGCTAGGGAGTGAAATCTGTCTACACGGATGCTTTCATGACATGGCAGAGGACACATCATGTCAGAATCACAAAACGACTTATAATTTGTTAGCGTTTAGTTAATGAGATGCGGCATCTTTGCACTTCAACCACAGCTTGCAGATGGTGTGACCCAAATCAGCATTTCCCAGCAGCCCCAGGTGGTTCTGTGGTTAAAAGTACAGCAAGGTGTTATCTGTGCAAAGTTTACTGCAGTGGTGCATGAAAATTACGAGTAATGTTTTTGTCTGAAAAAGTTTTTTTGTCTGACAGTATTTCATAGAAGTGTACATTATTGTAATAGTTCATATTGGGGTGGTTTTTGTACGTCCCACTAAGAAAAAAATCAATCAACCCCCCCATTAAAAAAAATAGAATCAATGAATTAAAAAAAAATGACAGTGTAATTTGCATTGTTACTCTATACTACTATTGCTACTTGTTATTGTAGCTTGTGATTCTAAAATTGCGTAAGTAGCAATATAAGTGGTCCAATATTAATATTAAAAGATCCAGTAAGCTAATGACCTCCTTACACCATAGCCATCTATGCATACTTAAGATACCTACTGTTTTCTGACTGTCAATGCAAATTCAATTTTGTGGCTGTTTTGAACCGTTCTTTACAATTTCAGTTTGCAGTTTTTATTTAATTTTTGCATTAGGATAGGATGGAAGGCATTATTGTCCTTACTTTAGGTTTGGGTGAGTAAATGATTCATTGCAGCCCAAAGACAGAACCTAGACATTTACATATATCTGCATACTCAGGCACAGCTGACATCTCTATGGATGAAATACAAGACAGGGCACCAATCAGAATACTGGGCCTCATTCACCAATATCTTCCTAGTTTTTTTTTTGCTTAAATGTGTTCTTGAGAAAGGTTCTAAGAAAAAATCCACGTCAGATTCATGACATGTTCTTAAACCACAGAATTGTGTTCTTACCTAAGAGTTAATAACAAGTGAGAAAACATCAGTGAATGTCAGAATCTTCATGAAAACTAAGACATTTATTCCCAAGAACAGTTGGTGAATAAGGCCCATTATTATTAAGTGCCTCAAGTCAGCTCTTCTTTCTGATCACATGAATAGTGTTTCTTCAGAATATCTGGTCTGCTGTTTGGACCTCTAAGCTTCTTAATGTCTTGTTCATAATTTTTTTTTTCTCATTTTTGCAGTTTTCACTGCATCCTCTGACACCCACTTTTTTTCTCTGTTTAATTTTTCGATGTTTTTTTTTTTCTGATTGATTTTTTCAACCTCTTTCATTTCTATCCATAGCTCTCCTGGCTATCAGTTATGTCCAGCATCTGAAATAGGTTCCTGTTGTTTTCTTTGAAAACTTTGAAAACAGGTGGTGTGTTCTAAAGGCCATATTTTGGGAGTCTGTTTGATTGTTTTTTTTCTCAGGCTCACTTGGTGTGTTCTATGATCAGATTCAGGCCGAGTCTTCGCAATTAAAATTTAGCTCTTCCATCTTCTGGTGCAAGGAATGTAGCCATTGATTTTGGTGAACTCCTTCTGGTAATGTTCATGTGTACATATGTCGTTTAGTTGCTTAAAGAATGTAGTAGTAATAAAAAAAAGATTAGTTGAGTAGTTCTCCTGTTTCATTTCTGTTTTCAAGGCCATGTTTTCCAACTTTATTTCCTTCCTTTTCATTTCCAACATTGGTTTTCAAGTCTCCCAGCAGCATGTCTTGTTTGCAGATCTTGTCAATTTTAGCCTGAGCTTCTTTTTGATTTCTTCTTCACTTGTAACTGTTGTTGAATGACGTCCTGATGAATGGACATGGCACAAAATTGGAGTGACATCATCAGTCATTCACAGCATTATATCCAGTAACGGTCTTGTTCACATTCTTACTGATAATGAAAGCCAGTCCATTTCCTCTGTGTTGACCTGAATATCAGAAAGTAGGTACTAGGTAATAGTTGGTGAGTTCTCCTGATTGAAAGTGTCTTAATCTAATCTTTTTTTTTATTTTATTTTAATTGGCTGATCCCTGGGATGTTGATGTGTAGACGATTCATTTGCATCTTCACTACTTCCAGCTTACCATGGTTCATAATCTGTGCTATGCTATGCTACTCTTCAAAGTTAAAACGTCAAATTTTTTTTCCAGCGCATTAAACATTTGTAGATACAAAATCTGAGTTGCTTCACAAGTTCCTGAGTGGTGCAGTGGACTAAGCCATCATCCCGCCTGGAGGTTGTGAGTTTGAGCCCTGACAATACCATAGCCATCCATAAGTGTGTACTTAAGTGGAAAAAATGTCTGCTAGGATTGTATGATGGAAAGAGGCTAGTGGTGAAATTGAGTATAAAAAACAAACTTATTTATCTGAGACGCAGAACATTTAAGAGAACCTTTCTTAAAAAAATGAAGAGAAACCAAGAAGTTTGAGTTGTGTGAACCCTTGTGTCCTCAAGTTAACTTAAAGAAAAGCAATGTAATCAGTTACTAAATCATTTTCAGTTGAGCTGACCTCTCATTTTTTACAGCATAGCTCTTCCTCAGTCACATGATAAGCACCTTCAAACCTCAACTTTCTGTGTTCTCAACAATTATTCTGTTTTAGCCTATCTGTGTGGTTTTGTTGGTAAAGTACAGAAGTGGTATGTCATTGTTTCTTCTACACAGTGTTTTGCAGTTGTACAATAAAAAAGGCGTTTGATTCTTGACATAACAAAAGAATGAAAGAAGTCTTTTTTTCTTTTGACCAAAATAGTGAGTAATTTAATTTGCTAGTGGTCAGAGTGATGTGTAACTGCCAGCAGTTTTTTTTTAATAATTTCAATTAATTTAATTTAATAATTAAATTAATTTAATTTCAGACCTTGTGTTGAATCCCCTACTCATGGCCCACTCAGGAACTTGCGTTACTTCCGTGCCTTGAGAGACTATATAAGTAAGAGATGCTTCTTAGACTTCACTTGAACCTGCAGACATGGGTAAAGTGGGGTTTGTTGCGTTTGTGGTTGGCGTGGTGGTGATCATTATCATTGCCCTGGCTGTAGGCTCTCGAAAGAACAATGAAGAGAAGTCTACAACTGAGGGCAACCTTACATCTGATATGAACCCTACAACTGAGATGAACCCTACAACAGAGGTGAGCCCCATAAATGAAGCTGAAGTGTGGAAAAACTACAGGTTACCAACTTCTCTGGCTCCACTGTATTACAATGTGACTCTCTGGCCTCGACTTGTAATGGACGCCAAAGGCATGTATATTTTCACTGGACATTCAGGAGCTGCCTTCACATGTGTGAATGAAACAGGTCTGATCCTCATTCATTCCAACAAACTGAACTATACTTTGACACGGGATGGATACCACGCAATGCTGAGTGGGCTGAATGGGGCTAAAGCTCCAGCCATTAAGAAAACATGGCTTGAAGTGGAAACCCAGTATTTGGTGGTTCAGCTCAGTGAAAAGCTGCAGGTTGGAAGCACCTACTGGCTCTACACGGAATTCCGTGGAGAGCTGGCTGACGACCTTCACGGATTTTACAGAAGTGAATATGTTGAGGATGGAGTGAAGAAGTAAGCCGTGTCATGGTGTTTACTGTTAAAATGTGTAAAAAACAGATTTCAGTACACTGAAAAAAGTGCTAAATAGAATTTCCTAGCTTCAAACGTGAAATATTTACACTTGACAAAATAATGTCTGTACAATCACTGGCAAAATTGCACTGATGTAACATAGAAGTGATGAACATATTTCAGTTGTAAATTTAGTGCATCTTTTCTCTTCTATGTACCTTGCAAACAGTATTTGAGGTTCTGTTGATGTATGTGGGTGATTTGTTTCCCACCATTACAGTTAAACATCATTACACTGTTGTGTCTGTTGCTGTACTATGATTCTATTGTTAGAATGCCTCTGACTGATCATCTATTGATATCATTTTTTTCAGAGTTGTTGCCACAACTCAGATGGAGCCCACCGATGCCAGGAGAGCCTTCCCATGCTTTGATGAGCCGGCGATGAAGGCCGTTTTCCACATGACTCTCATTCATCCACTCGGCACTGTGGCTCTAGCTAATGGCATGGAAACTGGTAACTGGACATTTCTTACAATTCTGATGTCCAATTGGTGTTGCAAAATATCAAAAAGCAAAAGAGAGGAAGGAATATATCCAACAAAACATATCCAACAAGGCCTGGTTCTGGTGCATCTTTATTTTGAAATACGTCTCAAAATGTCCTTTTCCAGTTGTGTTTTTTTTTTAGTCAATCAACAAATGCGTAAATCTAGTGCATTTCATGTTGTAATAATAACAGGATATTTCAATAGCTGAAAGCTTGACTGTTTTTTCTTTGAAGCGTAACTTTTAGTTACATCAGCGTTCTCCAACTTTAACTGGAGAAAGAAAACCACTCAAATTCTGCATGTTGCCAACAACAGTTCCTCTGACTGACTGTTGCAAATAAATCTAATAAATCTATCCAGCCTAGGTATTAGACCTTATAATCAATGCTTTGATTAAATACCCCATACAAAAAAATAGTTTATTACCAACTCAAACCTCCTTAAACCTACTTAACATTATTTTTCCTAATTAAAAAAATGCCATTTCTATGAAGAATATTTATTAAGAACTGTAGATCTGGAAAATGGAAAATCTGGGTCTTTGAATATATAAAAACATTTTTTAAAACATCACTGAATTTGTTCATTTATTCAACCTAAGAGATACAGACATTTTCTTAAAAAATAAATTAACACCGCCATAGAAAAACACCTCCTAAAAGTTTTTTTTTAACTACTGTTAAATAGCGACACGCAGGAATCCAAAGAAGCTTTCCAACAAGGCAGAGACTACAAAGCCAATCATCAAAACAACCATCATAAATGCAAAACTGCCTGTTTCATTATGTGATTAAGGCTCTCAAAAACATGCAGTGTCCAGTTACTTTTACATTAGATAGCTAACTAGCAATGAAACAACCGATGAGCTGCTCCGATTGCCAACCAATCAGCACTCACTAGCAGTAATGCTAGCCCATTCAGCTTACTGCACCAATCCTGCAGCCCAAAAACTGTTTGCTTTAGAAAAAGGGAAATATATAGGTAAGTTTTCTTTGCTTTTTTTAGTGAAATACATCCTTCTACTTTCTGAAGTTAATGAAAAGTTCTGGGCAAGCGATTAGAAAATATTTTAACTTTAACGTTTTTAGCCGTTTATCTCCATTTACTCCCATTCATTGAGGACTCACTTGCAGGCACTCACAGGTGTTCTCCGGTGTTTTGCAGTCGTGTTTTTGATATAACGGGGGAAATAGGAAGAGGCCAGGCTCCACATAAACTGGCTCTGGCCTTCATGCTCCAAACACATGGCATACTGATCATTATTATCATGGAGACTGCGTTGGCAGATCCTGCATCACCCTGACTTTCTATTGGCTGAACGGGTTGTAGGCTGAACATAAGGTGCGTTCAACAGACATTTTGCTTCATGCACACACTTTTATCCCTATAGACCAAATTTTACGTTTTTACCGTTTCCCAGCTTTCAAAAGCAGGTAGAGCTGCAAAGATTAGCATTAATCCCACTCAGGGATCCTCTGTGTTGGGTAATTCTTGCAGCTGAAGCTAAAGACAATTTAGCCAAACCTTCTGTCTTGCAGATGAAGCCAAAGTTACCCAGCACTACTATACGACCACTTAGTGTACCAGAATGTAAACTAAGATGGTATGTTGATTAATTAATTGTTAATTGATATTTTTAGAATCATTACTTTGTAGACAGTGCAACGTAAGGCGACATAAGCTACTTAAAAAGCTAACTCTATTAGTACAGTATGAGTGTTCTTTCTCATAATTTAGCACTCAAAAAAAAGCTTTGTTTGATTCTATACATGATTCAGAATTGGACAATAAATTGTTCCATTTCGGCCAATAAGCTAGCTGGCAAGTAAGGTAGCTGTAGTAGCCTAGTTAGCTAGATGCTATAGAGTAACATAAAATGACCACAAAAGACTGTTAAATTTTCAAATGTGGGAAAACGCCATCATAACGTTGATCTGTCTTTATTAAATGCAGCGGTAAAATATGTGAATGGTGTAAGTTCATGATTATATGATAAAAATTAACCACACAAAGTTGTGAAGTTAAGATTAGTTTTAAAAATACCTTTTGTTTTTCAATATCTTGGTTAAATAAGTCTCAAAAAAGTCCTGTTGTAACTGTACAGCACTACCTGAGTTATTCACCCAGAAGTAAGTTCTGTGTTGCTGTGGTGTAATATTGATTTGTCCTATAAAATAGTTACCTAGGCTTTCGTGATTTGGTCCAGAACGCTGTTCCATCTCAACTTATACTCCTGGAACAGGGTTCTGGTGTGTTCCGGCCCATTTCCACCACTGATTATAATCTGAATTAAGTTTTAAAATTCTGATCACCTGCTTCAGCCCACTGCTGCTCCTACAGTCCCCTGACCAGAAATAAGCAAAGGTGGGACACTCAAGGGGACTCTCATAAAAGCTTTATACTCATGTCTTTTGTGTTTTGTGAGTTGCCAAAAGCCCCTTTATATGCAGATATGTTAAAACTATATTAAGTAGTGTTTTATTTGGACATTATACACTTTGAAACACAGTTAGGCACCAGGGTAAAATGGGACAATTTGTGTGTTAATTTGGAACAGTGCTTTAATCTTATAGGAAACACATTTGCAGTAGGCTACCATGTAGTAATATCCAGTGTAGAGCAACAACACACTGAATTGCAAACACAAACTAAACTAATTTAAAAACAAGCACCTAGGGTGGACTACTGCATGTTCTGTGCTTTTCAAGGAGACGCAGCTTCTGCCATACCACCTTTCAGATAATGACACGTATGTTAGTCATCATGGCCCAAAACACACAAATGAGTGCAGTACAACATGCTAAGCTTAGCCCTCATAAACCTGTTCACTACCGAGAAAACTGTTCAGGTATAGCATCCCTCAAAAAAGCTCTGTAAAACTAAGATTAATGACTGGATCTTCACATTGATTTATCAGTCTACTCAGGCTTTAGCTGGAGCTTCAGTGTTTGTAAAGAAGCCATTTGTTGAGTTCCTCTTTAGACTCTGATAAATGAGCATTTACATGAGCTAATTTTAATGTAAAAGTTAATGAACAAGTATTGATGTTTATTTTTTTATTTTTATTTAGAGGGTAAATATTATTAAAGTATTCTCCTCCAAATGTAAAAAAGTAACTTATTCTGAATGCTTCCTTTTCAAAATGTAACGAGAACTGAATTCATATTTTTGTTGCTTTTTATTTATAATGTTTATATTGTTCATTTTTGTTAATAGAGTTAATGTGAAGGATAGAGTTTGTATTTTTATCTTATTTTTATATTTAGTATTATATATATTGTCTATAGAGTAGTATGTAACAAACTGTAACCTTGTTAAGTAATTAACAAGATTAATTACTTTGTTACTTTCTTTTTGTTATTTCTTTTCTTGAGTGCCTTGCTACCTCTTTGCTGCTGTAGCACTGTGAATTTCCCCGTTGTGGGACTAATAAAGGATCTTATCATTTCTAATCCTATCTTATACTTAATTTCTGTAGCTCTAAACTATAGCAACTGCTCAACTTGAGTATAATTGTAAAATAGAGGCAAAAGATTTAAACTGTAGTAAGGTGCTCTTAGGTGAGGCTCAATACACTCTTACAAATTAAAAATCACTGTCCAAAGAAAAGCAAGTATCTCAAAAATAGTAACTTTTTACAGGAGAAGACAGAAACATTCTTTTTAGTGTAAGTTAATGTAAGTTAATTCCAAATTATTTTGGAGTATTGTGGCTATTGATCCTGAAATTTTCATACAATGTAAAGAACGGTTGCTGCGCTCAAATAATGTTGAAAAATACATAACTACATAATACATAACTTTTTTTTAAACAAACAGGTGTTGTGTGTCTTGGTGTGAAGTGATTGTTTAGTTTTGGAATAAGATTCCTATAGATATCATGTCGAAATGAAATGTGGTTTTAATATAAATCTTTTTCATAAGGGATTTTCTTTTATCGAAACATTAAAAGACGCAATTTTAACCCTTAAATTTTTTTCATTTCTAGTAGAGTAAGCTAATGTTGTGCAAATATCCCCAACCGAAGGAGTAAAAAATATTAAATACCTACGAGTAATTTCAGTTTGGGGTATATTGATATTTATCTCACATACATAAACTACCACTTTATGATTCTGAATTAAATGTATTTACCATGTTTTGTACTTATTTATAACTTGTACATATGCACAATGCATAAACACGAATGTCTGTTTTTATTTAGAATATTTAAAAAGTACTTTCATGGTCTTCACATCTCCTGCTTGTTTTGAATTTTTAGGCACAGAAACAATCACGCTGAACAAGAAACAGGTTTTACAGACCAAGTTTGAACCAACTGAAAAGATGTCAACGTATCTGTTAGCTTTTGTCGTCAGCGACTTTATTTCCACAAAAACCCCAGCAGAGGCCAAGGTTCTGGTAAGAACGATAAGGTCCTCTGTGGTTTTCCTTTGTTTGTTTGTGGTGAGCCTGTTGTTCCACAGAATGACATTCTACTTTTCTCTGTAAAAAAAGTTAAAATGAGTGAACCAATGAAGCCTGTACTTACAACATGCTCAAAATTACTGCATTGTTTAATGTGTTATTTAATGTACCTTGTTTAAATATAAGACGGTCCATGTTTAGATCCGAATCTGGGCTCAGAGGAAGGCCACTGAAGCTGGACAGGGGGAATATGCCCTGAACATCACTGGCCGCATCCTTAATTTCTTTCAGTACTACTACAACTCAAAATACCCCCTGCCAAAATCAGGTATGAATCTCTAATGAAGAGGTATTAAATGGTTAGATGGTTTATGCTTGAGGGATACATAAAACATACACTGCCATTCCAACAGTTTGGAATCAATGTTTTTAACACTACAAGTGCAATTTTATCGCATTTAAATGTAAAATTGTTCTAATATGCCAGTCCAGTGCAAATTCACAGGCTTCAGATCATTATAATAGTTAATAAATTATACATTATAATTTATAAATTATTATTACTAAAAAGTGGTTTAAAAATGTGATTTTACATGATTGACTGAACTAACCGAATCCAAGATGACTACAGAATAACTGAAAAGCTGGATAATATCAAGAATTAAGTTATAGTAAAACAAAAGTGCAGGATGCCTACAAAGGTGGTGATCAAATCGCAGAAGATGATCATAATACAAAGATAAATAGATTGGCAGGAGGGTTTATCTGACTGCACCGTTCTACTGTGCAGTGTAGCTTTTAAAAATTGGAACTGCATGAAAGAGTCATTAGAAGGTAGTCTTCCAACTGGGGTGTTACTAAGTAATCAACAGATGTCTAAATTTTTACACATGGCACAATTACTATATTATTATTATTATTATTATTATTATTAGTAGTAGTAGTAGTAGTAGTAGTAGTATGTGTGTATTTATTTATGTATATATGTATTTTTACGTTTATCAAATACAAAGTAACTGTACATGAACAATTGCAGGGATGAAAGTTTTTTTTAATAGTTTGCTGCAGAGGTTCACTTTAAAAATTAACAAAGCTTGTAATTTGGCCAGGAGTGCTCAAACTTAATACTACTGTATAAATAAATATCATATACTGTATAATAAATAAACATCAAAAACATATATATATATATATATATATATATATATATATATATATATATATATATATATACACATTTTTTTGTGTGTGGTTTTATTATTTAAAATTACTTAAGTTGCGTCACAGTATAAAAGTTTATGTATTCTCTCTATTCTGTCTGTCTTCGTGCAGATCAGATCGCACTGCCTGATTTCAGTGCTGGAGCCATGGAGAACTGGGGTCTGATTACTTACAAAGAAACAACTCTTCTGTATGATCCCATCACGTCCTCCAATAGAGATAAAGAGCGGGTGTCCACTGTGATTTCTCACGAGCTTGCACACATGGTAAGAACTCTGCGTTTAATCTAAAATCTATTGATGCCTAATTGACCTTATCTTTCATAACTAATGTGTAAATGATGTTTAATTGTTTCAGTGGTTTGGAAATCTTGTGACCATGAAATGGTGGAACGATCTGTGGCTAAATGAAGGTTTTGCTACCTACGTCTCTTATCTTGGGGTCAATGAAGTTCAACCAAGCTGGAATATTGTAAGCACTGTTTTACTATGCTAACAAACAATGATCTATCATAAAACATTGCAGAATTGTAGGGTTGGACCCAAGATTCTAGTCTTTCGGATGCCCTAAGCAGGATTTGTGGGAGGCCCCAATCATGCAAGCTGATGTACTGTAAAATTAAAGGCTACCTAATAACAGTGATCATCACAAGCTGTCTAAATTATGTATTTTTACAACTGGCTAATTGGTGCATTGCTGATGACTGGATGTTTGCTTGGGGTTCTAATAAGCTACAGGTTGAGTTGCAGATCACCTTCTCAGTATTCTCGATCCATCCAAGGCTCTATCTCAGCATGCAGTATTTCTTGCTCAACTAACTTTAAGCTTAGTTGGATCTAAGCCTGGTGGAAGTGGTGACAGTGTTGCTTTTTTATCTTTAGAAATGCTTTACTTGCTTTTCCTCTGCTTGTGTTTTACCTGAATGGCTGCTGGTTATTATAGTCACGCTTTCATATCATCACTGTTGGGACAAAATCTCATATCATTTTTGTTGTTTTACATTTTTGACAAACCTTTAACCCCTTAAATGGCTAGCGCCTGCTGGCAGGCCTAAAGTTTTGTTACACAATTCTCTAACTTGAGAATAGCTTCACCAGTTTGCCTTGACTTTCCTGTAGTTACTGAATAATAAGATTTAGTATGTAATAAGCCTGGGATTTTAAGAGGTTAAATAGCCAGTACCCTTTAACATTGTTCCAACTTCCACTTGTGGCTCTTTTGCTGCCCTGTTGCTCCGCAGCAGAATTAGATTTTTAGGTAAAATTAAAATAATCCTCCTGTGTAGTATAATAAAGCTTGGCTGATCGTTCAACACATTTTTAACAATAAATGGCCTTAAACGCTGGAGTTATTGTATAATAATGCTAATTCACTAACTTTTAACCCTGAAGATTGGCGCACAGACTGCTGATCATCATAGCAAGGCAGACAACAATCTTGCCTAGCTAGTTAATGAAAAAGCAAAGAGAAAGATTTAAGACGAACATTGATAATTTGGAGACAATTTAACTTATTTGCATTTATAATCACTCCAGCTGGTTTCCTGATGCATTTAATCTGCAACAAGAAACTGTCAAACACTGAAAAGGAACGAAGCTGAAGTCAGTTTCTTATTTACCAGCTTCTTGTTTGAATTTTCAGGTTCCACCTTAAATGGTGCAGCCATTACATTCTGGTGCCTTAGGCACCATTTAGGTGGAACTGGAAAATTCGAACACGAAGCTGGTGAATGTGAAGCTGGTGAATGTGAAGCCTCAGAAAAAAGTCAAACATTGAGACATTTTACAAGAAACTATTCTACTTTTGAGGAAAAATTTCCTGCCAAAGATGCGAGAAAAGAGGCTATAGCTATGCTAAAGCTTAAAGCAGAACAAAGTAAGTCTGTGTTTTCATTTATATTAGCTATATTTCATAGCCTATGCTAGTACATTAGCACATACTGAGACATATTTACAGCCAAGATGGTTAAACATTACTTCAATAAAATGGACAAAAAATGTTGTGGCTCTCAAGGCAGACTGATTTTTAATGAAAGGACAAAATGGCTCTTCTTAACGTTTGGGTTGCCGACCCCTGTGTTAAACTAATAAATAAACATTAACTAATAAATAAATATTAATTGTGCACTACAATTTGCAGAATTAGTGTATTCTCTGTCTGTGTTCACTTATTCTCAATTAGAAAATCAACAAAACATGTCATTTGACTAGGGGGGTTCAAACTTCTGATTAAGACTGTATGGACTGATATATCAGTATTGGTGACAAATTGTTCATGTGGTTCAGGTCTTGTGTAATTGTACCTCAAAGGTAAAGCAAGTGTTGTTTCCATTCTAGGAAGCTCTGATGGTGCTAAAGGTGGTTCATAAGGCTTTCGAAGTGGACGCTCTGACATCTTCTCACCCTCTGTCCTCCCCAGTAGAGGAGGTCAATACACCTGCACAAATCAATGCATTGTTTGACTCCATTACCTACAGCAAGGTACCCCATCACTTAATCCCTCATGCTACAAAATGCAAAAATATAAACCGATTCATTGTGTTTCATGTATAGTGTTGTGTACTTTCTTTCTCAATTGCAGGGGGCTGCTGTGTTAAGAATGCTTTCCGAGTTCTTATCTGAGCCTGTCTTTGCCAGAGGACTCAGTGTAGGTCATTTGCAGCTTGTACAGTAAATTTAAGGTTGAATCACTAACTGGGCATCTTTGGCAGAGGTTCATTGTTCTGCACTGCCTCCACAGGCCTATTTGAAGCAGTTTGCATACGGCAACGCAGAGTACACTGACCTGTGGGGGAAACTTCAGGAAGTAAGTTTTTTCTATGCTGTGATCATTTGAATATGCAATATACAATGTAATATGTTTGCAAAGTTTACTTGAAAATTATGAATGCTGTCACTGTCAGGACAAAACAACTTAGTTTTTATTGTTTTAATCTTTTTTTTTTTAATGCCAGCTGCCATTTATGTGTTGAAATGTTGTGATAAATGGACCAATAGCAATGCTCCAAAAACCATTTTTCTTGAACCTCCATTCAAAGGTCAGAATGTTTTTTCCTTCTCCTTTGTAGCTTTCATCGTGTAGATACCAGGTTTTGTCTCGACAGTGACAATATGAACATGCCACGTGTCGCTAACATCACTGTGAGGACAAAATCATGTATCATATCCAAACATTATACTTCCATATTTTTGCTTTTTTACTTTTAAAGCTTAAAAAACACATCCTGCACCCTTAAAGCTACACTTTTTGGATAATTCATGCTAAATAGACCAATAGAAATGGTCCATTTTCTATTATCTGGAGTAGAATCTCTTCTCGTTAACGTATCATTGCTGTCGGAATAGATCCTATAAAGAAAGAAATTTACACGAGAAGGACAAAATGTCCTTAACTTTCATTGTAAGAAATGTTATTTTGTTATTACAATGTTATTTTGGAGTATTTCAGTTGGTCTATTCATCAAAGATTTTGACACAACCTAACTGGCAGTTGGCATTGTCAAATAATGTAAAAAGAAAGAGAACAACAAAAATGGAAATACAAGGTTTTGCTCCAGCAGCAAGGAATTTTCAAGTATCCATTTTGAAGGTACCAGGTTTTACAGTGGTATGCAAAACACTCCTTTTGCACAGGCCGTATTTTGTATTTTATTTTCAACCCAGTATATTAAATTCAGCAAATAAACAGTAATTGTGTATTGAACTGTCCAGTAGTGTGTTAGCTGTAGAGAATGTGTAATTTTTTTTTTTAATCAACAAAGCATGACCGGGGGCGCACATACTTTTGCACACGATTGTGCGCTAATAAGATTTTGTGCTAATCTGGAAACTGTGTTTATGCTTTCTGAAGGTGGTCGACGCTGATCCAGCAGTGAACCTTCCAGCCTCAGTGACTGAAATCATGAATCGCTGGATTCTCCAGATGGGCTACCCAGTGGTCACCATAGACACCCGAACAGGACGTATCACTCAGAAACACTTCCTGTTAGATGCAGATGCAGAACTGGACAGGCCATCTGAATACAAGTATGTGTATTACACAGCATATCAAACACAGTGTCTATCAAACATGGTAATGTTCATTTCATGCTCATTATGCCTGATAATTGATCATAATTATATGTTTTCAGTGGAAATATCTTGCTAGACACTATTGATCCCCAAAAAGGAGAAAAATGAAAAGTGATTACATTCTAATGAGTCATAATTCACATGAGTGTAGATGAATGTTTCAGAGTTTATTATAATTTCTAAGCAGTCTCTGTTAGACTGGGTTGCTATCTCTATTGATTTACTGTGGTAGACGAGCTTAAACACGTCAAGTAAAACTAATGTTACTTTGTTAAAATAATGACTCACTCATAAAAGTTCAATTATCTAGCAAAAACAAAGTTAAACTGCCGTCTGATTTATGGTACAAAAACCCTCACAATGCACGTTGGTGTATAGATCATTCTGCCTAAAATCCTTTTGCTTTGAGTGACTCTATTCCTTAATTAGGTTTATTTTGTTAAATAAGAACTCAATCCATTTTGTCACTACCAAAACAATCGTAACACTACCAAAACTTTACCAAATGTTTCAGTAGTGACGGTTTCGGTAGTGACATTTTTAGCTAATTTTGCAAAACAAACACAGTTTTGAACAGCTGTACACACATAAAGTCTGAATACTTTTCATTAGAACACATTTATTGAAATGCTAAAAATATGGCAACTCTTAATGGAGCTCACAGATTTTTAGACTTTAAGACACATTGACTTCAAAACACTGGGATCTAACTACTCACCATGTGGCCATGAGGGACAGGGATGCAGTCTCACTTCCTGCTCTGAAATGCTTTTAAAATATTTTTTTAAATTAATCTCAAGATAAATCTAAATCTTTCAAGTTCACCCTAAAAGAAATCAGAAAGATCTTTTTTCAAAACAACATGAAAAAATATATTTAAATATGTAGGTGTTATTTCCACAAGTGTAAATTTAGAGGTTAGGGTTTGGGACAGACACTTCCCAATAGAAAGTACCCTATTAATGATGATTTTGTATACATTTGGCTTATTACTATCTTATTTAATGTATTGAGTTTAAATATATCATAACATAATCTTTGTAAATATCTAAGGTCTGAATATTATTTTTTAAATATATTTTAACCACAACTAATTCCATTAATTCATCTTATATAGTGATCTATGGTGTTCACTAGACAAAGAAAAATGGATGACATACTTGATTGTGCCCAAATAGGAATCTATTTCAGTCACAGCCTTGCCTTATACTCTAAGCAAATGTAACAGTAGATTATGGCCATAATCTCTCTCTTCTCATTTTTTTCTGATTGTATAGTTATGAGTGGTTTGTGCCTATCAAATGGATGAAGAGTGGAACTGTCATGGGGCAGCACTGGCTGCTTGAGAAAACAGGTACACACTGCACTAACCAAAAGCTGTTATCTCTTGTTTGGGGATTTGGAGATCCCTCTGGAGGAAATGTGTAATTGCAGTATGTTTTGTAGGGTGGCATAGCAACACAGTGACATGTTTTATATTTCATTTTTTCTCTACACTGTTAAAAATTTCAGTGTAAAATTACAGATAATTACTGTCCACTGGTTGCTCTACTTATAGAGTAATTTACTGGACCATACTTACAGTAAATAACAGTAAAATAGCAACTGTGTACAGTGACTCCACACATCCTGCACTCTTGCAGTAATAAACAAATTAAAATACAGTAATCTCCAGTATGTTTACATTACAACTGCGAAAGTATTTTGCGCAGTAGCTGGCAATTTGCTGTAACTAAACAAATGAAAAAAATGTTTTCCTAACTAACCGATTTTTTTTTGAAAATGTAAAGTAAAAGACAGAAGATGAACTAAAATTTAAAAAGTAATAATAATAACAATGAACATATTTATTAACCAGGTTTTGCCTGTATTTGCATGAAATTTCTGAAGCCTTCATTTTAAATACAAACACACATTTTACAGACAGTTTAACTTAGCTTACAATTCATAATCATGACTGTAATCTCACATCTGGTAATACAATAAACAATACAATGCTTGTCATCTTCTTAGGCTATGTTTACACAGCAGGTAAAAGTGGCCCAAATTTGATTTTCTCACCAAACCCGATTTTTTTGTTTGGCTGTTCACATTATCTTTTAAATGTGATCTGTATGCGACATCAGTCGGAACAGATCAGCTCCTAAACCGACCCGCATGCGCAAAAGAACAGTGCTTCACGTGGCGGCTCGTCCGAACGCCTGTCGCTCCCGCAGCTTTCAGCTTCGTCCTCGCCAGCATCACAGGAGCGAGTATAAAGTTCCAGTGGTTGACAGCTGGACTCATCACCCACAATGTGTTCGAGTTCGCTGTAAAAAGGGCTCGTTATTCGGCCATGGCCGCTTCTTTGGTTCGAGTCCTCGGATTCTTTAAACTGTTCTCTGACGCTGCAGCCTCGGGCTCCTCCGGTCGCGCTCAGCCGGTTCGTTTGAAACCTCTTCGAACACGGAGCGGTTTGATGAGTCTCTTCTCATGTTTTAATACAGAAACATCAGACTAAATGTTTATGAGTCTCGGCAGCGCGAAATTATGACGAATGTCGAGTTGGATTGACGTAAAAGTCGCATGAATTCCGATCTGGCTGTTCAGACAGAGTCGCATTGCCGCAAATCGGATACGTATCGGATTTAAGTACCACATATGAAAACATCTCAAATCGAAATTGAAAATGTCAGATTCAATGCGGTTTTGCTGTTCACACTGCCACACAGATGACACATCTGTGTCACATTTGAGGAAAAAGATCGGATTTGGGCCACTTTTACCTGCTGTGTAAACGTAGCCTTAGTGTTATAGCATGTAAACATAAAAAAGCAAACAAACAAAAAAAAACTCCAGTGTAAAATTTGAAAAACACTAATGTCCATTATATCATTTTCCATAATGCTGTGTGGTACAGATCAATGTCAGACTCACAGTAAGTTGCTTCAAACAGTAATATGTATTACAGGAAATATTATGATTTGATTTCACAATAAAATGTTGAATACAGTATTTTACTGTACAGCAGTAGTGTTACATATTGTGAAATCCTGTCAGTAATTTGCTGTGTACAGCCTCAGAAATGCTACTTATTTCATCTTCAACAATGGCGACGCAAAAATGTTACATGGTAAAGCTTTAAGTTTTAGTAAACAATATGTAAACTTAGAGTTTAAATGTTTTCATTGATTTTTTTTTTATCTTTACCTTCACAGCCACTCATGAGCCGATGAGGACAAACAGTGAATGGTTGCTGGCCAACGTGAATGTGTCAGGATTTTACAGGGTTAACTACGACTCCCAAAACTGGCAGCGTCTTCTCTCACAGTTAACTTCAGATCATTCGGTGATATATATATTCATGTATATCATGTTATCATGTTAGTGATTTTTTTAGCCACCTCTTAAAATCTCTTTTACTTTAAATTGTAATTCTTTATCCCTGCATGTCATGTTCTCCTCATGCTAATGAACTTGTGCTGTTCTGCTGTTAAATGCAGGTCATACCTGTAATCAACAGGGCTCAGATTGTGGATGATGCATTCAACCTAGTAAGGTAATGCCTTCCAATCTAAAGTCCTATTGTTTTACCAGAAGAGGTTCTGTAACTTTTAAATGTTTATTGACAAAGTCCATAATTTTGAGTTTTTACAGTTAGACTGTAATAATCTTTGGGTGATTGTAATCCAGTATGAATCTGCAGTGTGTGTAGTTTTTAAAAGCCAAACAGTAATAATTGAGGAGTGATTTTAATCCAGTATGAATCTGCAGTGTGTGTAGTTTTTACAGTGTGACAGTAATAATTGCGGAGTGATTTTAATCCAGTGTAAATCTGAAATGTGTGTAGTGTTACAGTCTGACAGTAATAATTGCGGAGTGATTTTAATCCAGTGTAAATCTGAAATGTGTGTAGTGTTACAGTCTGACAGTAATAATTGTGGAGTGATTTTAATCCAGTATGAATCTGCACTGTGTGTAGTTTTACAGTCTGACAGTCATAATTGTGGAGTGATTTTAATCCAGTCTGAATCTGCAGTGTGTATAGTTTTTACAGTCTGACAGTAATAAACGTGGAGTGATTTTAATCCAGTATGAATCTGCACTGTGTGTAGTTTTAGATCTTTTGTAATTGCCTGGAGTAAATATATGGAAAAAGAAAATCATTGATTAATCACTAATAGACAAAGCAGTGCAATGTGTTGTTATTGTTATTGAATGTGTCCTGTACTGTAATGCTGATATGAAAGACTTTGGCCTTTCCATGCAGGCTGTCTGTCAGAATATGAGAAAACAGCACAAGATGCTAGCTAGTCCGTACAGATTGGCCAACTGTCTCTTTATTATTCAGTACATGGAAAACAATGCATACAGAGTTATTCTTAAATTACAAAAAAGGAGGAATGGAATTCAGACTTGCCAGTGGCCCCTGGCCATTTAAGGGGTTTAGTGATTCATATTCGATTTGTATTGAACAAAACCAAGCAAAATGATATTTAATTCTTTTGGCATTGCTTTTAAGGGCAAAGATTATCAGCATAACAGTGGCTCTGAGCACCACCATGTATCTCTCAAAGGAGAGGGAGTACATGCCGTGGGAGTCTGCCATCAAGAACCTCAATTACTTCCTTCAAAGGTTTGAGCAGACTGAAGTCTACGGAGCAATGCGGGTACATTTATTTTAGAGTAGACCAAACTCATTAGAAATTATAAATAATACGTCAAGTCCTTCTTATAATGCTTGAAACATTCTTACAGTTTCATTCTGAGAACTTTAAAATAATAACTTCATTTTCTATACCCATTGTAGAAGTACCTGCGGGGTAAAGTTCAGCCTCTGTTTAATTACTTCAAGACCATCACTGCAGACTGGACTGAGATTCCATCAAGTCACACTGACCAGTAAATATAAAGAGATTTCTTTAAAATCTACCTATTTACACATTTATTAAGTACATAAATGTAATAAATGTAATTTAGTCTTAAGCAAGTATCAATACTGTACATATTAATATTTTGATGGTCCTCTAAAGATGATCTACAGATACTTAAATCATTATCAAATGTTGATTATCAACAACATTATAGTTAGGGTTAGATTTAGGAGTAAGTGTAGGTTTGGTGTTGAAGTTAGAGTTAGGGTTAGGAGTAGATTTACGTTTAGGAGTAGGTATAGGTTTCGTGTTACAGTTAGGTTTAGGAGTAGGTATAGGTTTAGTGTTGGATTTAGAGTTAGGGTTAGGTTTAGATTTAATATAATTTTACACACTCAACTTCAAATTCAATTGCATTCAATAGATATTTAGTTAAATGTTACTTAAAAACAGACTGAGCGTCTACAGTGAACCATCAAAATGCAGTTTTACCATGGTGACTTCTTCACAGACTCAACCAGGTTAATGCAATGTCATTTGGATGCATAGCTGGAGTAGAAGAATGCATCGATCTCACTAAAACGTGGTATCGCCAGTGGATGGAGAATCCTTATAAAAACCCGTAAGTCACTTTCTGGTTTCCACTTAATTCAGTTTAGCTTAAAGGAATACTCCGGCTTTTCTCAACATAATCTTTCTGTCACAGCCGTTTACCACAGACTCTAATGTAACGCATTTCTCTGGTTAGGGTATGCATAGAGCATTAGTACTCTGCCACTCACTTTCAACTCTGCCCGAAACATTTTTGTTATGTCAATGCTTGTTGACATAACCATGCCATAAACATGTCATGCAAGATTGAGTGCAGCTGCCTGGATTGCGAAAAATAATATCTTGGCAAGTGAAATCATTTTACATCCAGTTGATACTTCTACTATTTCTTATTTTGGGATTGTTGTAAGAAAATAGTACAATTATTTAACTTATTTCTGCTTACTTTATGCTTGTAACAAGGAAAATATCTGCCAATATAGTGAGAGATTTTGAAACAGAGTAACACAGAAGTAAAATAATGAGTACTGCGATTTTTTCCAGGAAGTACTCAGTGATCTCATCACATTTTTAGAGAAATAATAAGTAATGGATTACTTAAATTAACATTAACATCAGCGCTATGAACTGCTGAGCTTGAGCAGCACTCTGTTCCGACTGAACAAGAGTAGCTTTGGGAGTGTGACTTCAAATGTTTGGATAACTTTTGGATAAATTTTTGATTTTTCCTTGCAACACCCAGAACATCACACTGCAGGACCTCCTCTCCACAATGTAGATTGTTGCTTAATTACCTTGTTCATACCAGTTTGTCTTTATGCAGTGATGTCATCACATAACAACATGGAATAGTCCATTATGACAATGACCAGGGTTACCCTAAGTTAGGCCTGTGACTGATGTTGCATTTAAGTTTCTTAAAAAAATCACTAAAATTGCAAATAGCAGCTACTTTAAAACAGATATACAATTTATTATTGGTTTTTCAATCTCAGCACATACAGTGGTGCTTGAAAGTTTGTGAACCTTTTAGAATTATCTATATTTCTGCATAAATTTGAAAACTTTATTAGATTTCCACACAAAAGAGAACTAAATGAAACAAATGAGACAAAATATTAGACTTGGTCATTTATTTATTGAGGAAAATGATCCAAAATTACACATCTGTAAGTATGTAAACCTATGCTTTCAGTATGCATGTGCTTAGGGTTGTTGTCTTGCTGCTGTCCTTTCAGCTCAAGGACACATGTCCTGACATTTTCCTTTAGAATTTGCAGGTATAAGTCAGAGTTCATTATTCTATCAATGATGGCAAGCTGTCCTGGCCCAGATGCAGCAATACAGGCCCAAACCCTGATACTACCACCACCGTGTTTCACAGATGGGATTAGGTTTTTATGACAGAATACAGTGTTTTCCTTACTCTAAACATAAGGCTTCTCATTTAAACCAAAAGATCTATTTTGGTCTCAACCATCCACAAAATATTGTTCCAAAAGCTTTCCATGTGTCCATGTGATTTTTAGCAAACTGCAGATGGGCAGCAGATCCCTGTTCTTGAAATGGAACAGGATTATCTGCTAATCCTAAAGGTTCACATACTTTTGTCACAGATCGACATGGATATTTTACCTATTTTACATTTAAATTACCAATTCTAATATTTTTGTCTCCTTTGTTTAATTTGGTTCGCTGCATGTACTTTAAGGACTTGTGTGAAAATCTGATGAAGTTTTAGGTCAAAATTATGCAGAAATATAGAAAATTGTAAAGGGTTCACAGCTTTCAAGCACAACTGTAAAATACATCAAATTTGAATTCCTGGGGGTCCTGCAGGGTCCTAGGCAGCTGTTTACCTTTTCCTAGTGCGAAGACCGCACCTGAATGCCATAACGTTTGTTCTCTTAAACTAGATCTGATTAGATCCAATGACAAAAGAATAATACAGAATTACAGTGTAGTTTTATACCATTCAGTGAAGAATTTCTACAGGCAAAATAAATAAAACAATAAATAAAAATTCATGTTTACTGATAAAATTCAGCGTCTGCTCATTGACTTACATTCTAAGTGTTTTTCAAGGCTACGGGTTTTCTGTTCTTTTTCCAAGCGTGGAGAAATGCACCAGTATTTTTCTTTATGGCAGTCTACTATGTGTGATAGATATGACGAATAAAAACAGGCTGGAAAATGGGTTCCTTTAACTTAACTGAACACAATGGACTTAATACAGTTAAAACCAAGTTTATAAACTCAGTTTATACCTTCTCTAAAATGCAATAACTTGTCAACACTTTTTCCAGAATCCACCCCAACCTGAAGTCGACTGTGTACTGCAATGCCATCGCTGCTGGAGGTGTGGACGAGTGGGAGTTTGGCTGGAACATGTACAAGAACAGCAGCAGTGCTGCTGAAGCAGAGAAGCTGTTGTATGGTTTGTCATGCACCACAAAGCCCTGGCTTCTGAATAGGTGAGCCTAAAAGCTAACCATCGTCCTGCAGACAACGTTTGGAGAGAGGGACCCAGCGTTAGCACCTTAGCATTAGCATTGTCTGATATTGTTGCAGAATTAGTGTTTGAATTGGATTCAGTCAAAAAATTATGCCCAATGCAAAGCTATTGTTGTCAACTGTGGTTATGATTTGACATGCAGGTTAGACTGGACACATGATTAGACTAACTAACTAATCTACACATTTAATGAATGATAAAAAGTAATTAGCTATTTTTATATTAGTTAATGTATACACTTTTTGTCCTAAAATAAAGTAATAATCTGCCCAAAATACATAACATTACTTTTTCCTTCACATGTAGATGATCAGCCAAGACATCTTTGGTGAAGGTTTTGTCTTTTCACTGAAAGGTTTTGGTGCACTGAAACTATCAGGCTAACAAAGCTAACAAATATTTTATCGCTGTCCAAAGAAAAACATGGCAACTTTACAGGAGAAGGCAAAAGTAATCTTAATTTTAATGTAAATTGACCCCTTAAAAAACAGGTTTATATTAAGGCTCATTATTCAGTAACTACAGGGACTTCAAGGAAAACTGGTTGAGCTCTTCTTAGGTTATAGAAATGTGTAATAGTATCTTGAATTTGTGCATTTTATGATGAAAGAACCAAAAGAAACAGCCCACAGTTACTTTGAAAAATGTCTGGTTCCATTGATTTTCTATGATTTTCTTTCTCCTGTAAAATTATAATTTTGGAGACATGAGGTTTTGTTATTTAATTGTAGTCCTGTTTAAAATATTTTTTTCTGCACCATTACATTAGATTTACCCAAAATGTTATTCATTTAGGTACCTGAAATACACAACAGATCCGAACATGATACGGAAGAAGGATGCCGATTTAGCCATTGTGCACATTACTGACAATGTACATGGACACCAGTTTGTTTGGAGCTTTTTTAGAGCCAACTGGCAACATATTATGTACAAGTGAGTTAAATCTGTCTGTTTCATTCAGTAAGTTTTATGGTGTCCCATGAATTGTTTAAAGATAACTGTAAGCTTCATGTGTTGCAGCAATGAAGATGGATTCCGCTCATTTTCAACAATTGTTCATTATTTATCCCAACGATTTTCCACAAAACTTGAGCTAATACAGGTATGTTTTGTATGCTTTGTAGATGCTTAACTTACTTTTAATTTATTTTTACTGCAATTATTCTGTTAAATTCACCTTTACTGTTCTCTTACCCGAAACTTAACTTCAACTTAAAACCTTAACCTAACCTTAACCCTGGTCCTTTCTTGTTTGTTTGTTTTGTTTGTTTTACTCATCTTTACCCAGGGTGCTAAAAATTAAGGCATTAATTACAGTTCAATTACAAAATTGTTCTTACTGAGGGCATGAAGTTGCTCACACAGTACAAATTACTACTACTATCTATTTGAGCATGTTCATTTTCACTCAGTCTTATGTCACTCTGACATGCAGATAGTCAGTCATCATAGTGTTTTGTGTCATTTCACCTCAGAAAATGTCATGACACAATGTAATGTCAGAAACAATATGGCACCAGGTGTAATGTCAACTTGGCATCACTGTTCACAACAGCAGCCTTTCTGAAGGATGACGCCTGTTGAAACAGGCCTTTATAAATGACTGTGTATGTTTATGTGAGTAGGCTTATGTAGGTGTTGTGTGGTCTTAGATAGATAGATTTATAAATTGCTTTATTAATCCTAGAGAGAAATTCATCTGTTACGGCAGCACAAAGTTCAGTAAAGAGCGAAACAAGCAAAAGTATCGCTGTACACTATTATATCAAGGCATAAATAGATAAAGTAAAGATCTATAGTAAAATATACTGAAACAACCATAAAATATGATGTGCAGTACAAAAAAAACTAAAATAAAATCACATAAATATTATGCAGGTCACAATGCAGTGGTGCATGTCATGTCATGTGTGTGTGTATATATATATATATATATATATATATATGTATAGTTATGTATATTTGCCAATTTTGCTGTATTTAGCACAGCAATATAATATGAGCAAGCCAATAGTGAAAGGTTGATGCAGACATGAACTGCTAAAATAGGTTTCTCTCCATGTCCATATCAACAGTTATATCTGCTGAAAGAAGAGCTCCTCTATAGGGGATATTTTCATGCAGCTTTTGTGGTGGATCATGCCATGGAGACGACCAAAGCTAACATAAAATGGGTGGCTGAAAATAAAAAGGAAGTGATGAGATGGCTAACAGAAGAAATGGATTAAAAAAATGGATGGATGGATAAAAAAAATAATATTTTTTTCCACTTTTATGCCTCTTTTGCCAGTTTTTGGTGTCTTTATTCTGTGATTTTTGAAATACATTTGATTTTAAAACTGTCTGTAAGAATAATTTGGTAACACTTTGCATGATCTACATGTGTATGAAGCATACATAAAAACATAAAAACATACATTCCTTTATTTCAGGGAACAAATATGATTCTAAGCACATGCTATTCATTTTCAATTTTATATTCAGTTGTGTATTGATGCCTTAATAACATTCAAAAAGCTTTCATGATTGAATCAGCAATAGTGCAAATTAATAACATTGCAGTTTGTTTGGATTTCATGTCAATCCTGTAAGCTTTACGACCAAAAACACTTGGAATGTATGCTTGTATACAGCGTTTTGATCAGACTTACGGTTTTATTAATTATCATTAACTGACAATGTTTTTTTTTCCCCATAGTAATGAATGGTGCTTAAAAGTTTATGCACCCCACTTATATCACGATGATACATGTACACAAGCAACACCTTATTAACCACCTAGGATAGCATAGCAACCACATAGCAACACACTAGCAACCATCTGGGATACTAAAGCAACCATCTAGCAACACCTTAGCAACCACCTAGCAACACTTCAGCAACAACCAGGGTGCACACACAGTAACCACCCAGTAACACCCTACCAACCACGTAGCAACACTTTAGTAATGACTTTGGAGACCATAGCAAACACTTAGCAACATCCTAGCAACCACCTGGGACACCATAGCAACTGGTTAGAAACACCTTAGCAACCACCTGAAATACCATAGGAAGCATTTGGCAATGCCCTAGCACCACTCTGCATTTTCTTCAGCAGGGAAAGCACTTTTCTAGTTACATGATATGTTTGTTACTGATTAAGCAATGTATTTAATGAATGTTACATAATTACAATTACACAATGTTTATTACCAATCATTTAGTTAACTCTCTCACAATGTAGTAACTATGTACCTAATATCTAAGTAGTGTAGTTTCCCCACATTCGGACCCAGAGAGTTAAAAATGTCCTTTTTACTCTAAGTTAGTGTGTTCATTCTCCTGAATCAGACGCTGATTGAACTCAGCTCTTACAGCTCTGTGCTGAGAGGAAGCAGACAGGACAGCACAGATGGACAGAGGAAGTGTGATGTGTCACTGTTGTGTCTGAGAACAGCTGTGGTGTTGTCACCATCGTTCTGACCTCAGGAAGGCAGCTGTCACTGCTGTATTACCACAGACACATTTACCAGAAACACTGATGTAATTACATTGCAAAAATAACATGCCAATGAAAATGTTTTAAATAAAGCTGGTATATCTAATATTTCTCGTTAGAACAGTGTTATAGGATTAATCAGTCTGTTTTTAGACAAGTTTGCTTATATAAAATGACCATAGTAGGTGAGCTAATCTTATGAGTTTACTTTCTTTTGTATTATAACATGCAAAGCAATGAGAATAATCTACTACTGGTGTAAAAGTATTTCATATGATCATTTTATGTAAAATGTAAAATTTTATGTAAAGAAAAAAAAATAATCTTCAGATAAGTTGAATAAATGTATTATTAACTTAATAATTGCGCTATTATTTAGCCCAAAGTTTTAGAAAAATACACTTTTTTATAATTTTTCAGTGTTGAATCTAAGAAAACATGCATGTAATCATTTAAAAATGTTTTAACCCATCTCAGGAAGAAAACCTCAGTTATTGAAGTTTGTTACATAGAATTAGCAAATGCACAAAATTGAAGATGCTTTCACTGGCCAAGACATCATACTCATGTACTAATTCCAAGTTATGTTAGTAATCATGGGTTTCCAGACACAGCTTAAGCCTAAGCTTGGACTGAAACAGTATCTAATGGTATTTCACCAGTGGCAGTGAAGTTCAGCCCAATGCTTAAGCCCAATCCATATCCAAGGAAAAGGCCCCAAGAGTTCCCAAGAACTGAAAGTATTAGCTAGGAGCATTCATGCTAGTTTATCTATCTGCACTCACATTAGTAATAGGAAATCAGATATTAGACTCTTCCATTTCAGAGAGGGAGTCCTGCTGAGCTTGACGTCCCACTGTGTTTACTCACAGGTCGCATTAAAAGCCCTACATGGTGAGAATTAGTTTACTATCCGGCCCAGCTTATTTTAAACTCAGCAGGGGGTCTTCCTTCAAGGTGTTAATTACAATGTGACATTACCGTCACCCACCTGTCTGTCATTAGGATGTGGTTTCTTTAGAGGTTTATGTTTTAAGTAATAAAAAATATGTGGTGTTCAGGATTTTTGACACAAGAAAAAACAAAGCGGTAATAGTCTCGGGTTCTTTATTCACCCAAATATTTGTAATCAATAAATACATATATCTTTCTTTAAAATACAAAAATATAAATAAGCATATGAAATTTGAAGTATTTACAGTCTTTAAGTATCAACATTATTGTAGAAATCAACAGCCGTGTCACATTGTTCTCAGTATCCATTAGCATTGTCCATAGTAACAGTACTGCTGCGGGGGAAACCAGTAACCTTCAGCTGGAGATGGAGGCAGGCTGTACTCTGCATTCTGTGAAACAATAAAAAAGGAGATATGAATATGAGTCTGGTTATACATTAACAGTTCAATACAGTATACAAAGAACTGATCTAATGGCAGTATGGCAGTATATAGAGACTTTATATATCTACATCTCTCTCTCTCTCATTGTACAATCATAGTTCTTTAGCTTTCCAGCTTAGCTCCTTCATTTGTAAGAGTGTGTTAAAACTATATAGAACTAAATAGAAAGTCTACAGTTTAAGCCATTAAAGGTGCTGAGTACATACCTGATAAGAAGATATGCTCATGAACTCCTGAGTGGGGAAGCTCTGGGCTGGTGGACTGACTTGGCTGAAGTTCTCTGGATGGAAAACGGCTGGAGCTGGGGGGCTTGAAGCCTCTGTCTGCCCTGAGAACCCAGGAAGACTCTCCTGGGCAGCTTCAGCTTGGCTCATCTCCAGTTGGGCAGACAGGTGGGAGATGTAGCGGATGGTGAGGCGCAGGGTCTCGATCTTGGTCAACGTCTGTCCGGCAGGGGCTACTGAAGGAGGTAGATAGGTCCTGAGGTGATGAAGAGCTTTGGTCAAGTCCCTCATCCTCAGCTTCTCTCGTTCGCTTGCACTTTCACGCTTTACGCCTGGACACTTGGATCTCGGACGCCCGGTTCGCCTGGCTGGCTTGGCCTTCTTGTTTTCCTCTCGGTCACTGCTGCTCTTGAGAAGAAAACTCTCTGGAAAGTTCTCCTGCCCACTTCCACAGGTGAAGGTTGGAGGAGAGAAGCAGCAGGAGTCTGTGGATGAAGCTGGAGAGAGGCTGCTGCAGGCGCTGTAGTAGCCAGCGTCAGAAGCTGTGTGGCTTTGATCCAGGAGGTTCTCGCAGTCGAACAGAAAGGCAGAGTTATCCTGAAGCTGGAGGAGAGAGCTGGAGAAATCCATGGCTGCTCTGAGAGAGATACGTCTGAGTGTCTGTGGATGCTGGAGCAGTGTGGAGCTCTGGTATATATCCTTCAGGAGGTGTGAGGTGGCACCTCCAGGAGCTGTTTCTGAGGACAGAGAGCAGAGGTGACAGCACAGGCAGGGGGGCCATGGGAAAGAGCAGCTCATCCAGGCTCAAGGCTGAGGTGTGAGCTTCAGCAGAAACACCTAGGAACTCATTCTCATGACTGTGTTTATGGAAATATCTGACATTTTGAGTAATACTATTTAAAACTATTTAGCTACAAAGATTCATACATAATTATTCAAAATGGCTAAAAATATTGAACCGATTTTGTTTCAGATACATGCATACAATTCGAATTTGGGACTTCATACGTTCATTTTAGGAAGCTCTAAGAAATGGTAGATGTATAGACAGAGCTGTGGATGATTCTAAAAGGAGAAAACTGTTGAAATATTGAAATATTGAGTTTAATCTGTTCTTAAACACTCATGTATCACTTTTTTTAAACTCGTTATTCAATGCTTATGCATCTGCTATGAATCTCTATGCTATGAAGCCTTCAAATAAGGTTGTTACTGTACGTCATTTAATGACAAACAAAAACACCTTCTAAAACACCTTCTGGAGTCTTTTTACTAATATGTATGTCTACACTATAAGTTACTGAATAAAATTTAGATGAGCTCAATAAGTGGCTGGAAAAGGATTGGGATTGGAAGGACTGGTATCTCAGAATGTTCCCCAGTACACCTCACAGTGGCTGAAATGTGCATTATTGTGAATAAGTGGACTATAATGTGCAAAAGTATATACCTGTAATATTATGTTTCAAAGTGTTTCCTATAATTGCATCACTAGAAATGGACAACATTTATTGATTGATCATTAATAAGTGAGTCTTCAGAACCAACCGAGAAGAAGAGCTAAGATAAATTATTGCCTTTCAGTATTTTGTGTGTTCTTTGAGATATTTAATATTCCTGAAATGACGCTTTTATTTGGAATACAAATCGCTGCTGTCGGAACAAAACCTTGTATCTCCATTTTTGCCATCAGTTTTTGACATAATTTGAAAATGCCTGTTGCTCTTTACCTTGTGTGTAAATTTCAAGAAGAATGGACCAAAAGAAAAGCTCAAAATTAAAGCTAAAGTAGGTTTTTTCCTTCTCCTGTGAAGTTACCATTTTGGAGATATAAGGTTTTGTTCTGACAGCAGTGATATACAGTACTGTGCAGAACTATTAGGCCAACTGAGAAAACTGTTTAAAGTTTTCTGCCTGGACTGGAAGTGTGTTTATTCTTGATCAAACACTGTGTAACATTTACAGAATATAGAAAAAATACTACAAGTGATATTAATTTTAAACATTAATAAAGTATACATATATATTTTTGCACACAACTGTACATAATTAAATGTGAGCAAAAAGCTACATTAAAAATGATTTAACATTCATTTAATTTCTCATTATTTAAAAGAAATACACAATGAGATAGATGTACATATATATGTACATATAGTGTGTATGTATATATATATATATATATATATATATATATACATGTGTTTGTGTATGTACATATACACATATACATACATATATATGTATGTACCCCTCTGTCTACCGAGAAAGATGTTCATTATTTATATATTACTTTAAACAATATTTCTTCACTGAAAGGTTAGAATTGCCTCAAATTCCCACTACAAGACACTCACTGGCCTGATTAACCACTTTAACTCCAATGTTCTCAGGTTCTTTTACACGGAGCTGTGTATTTAAACCTTTAACCTCCGAGTCTGATCTCTGTGAGAATGCAGATTTAAGCAGTGGACTAGCTCACCTTCAGCCATTCCCACAACACAAGTGTTACATTTTACCCCTTATAGAACCCACCACACACTCCTATACCCCCCCATTTCTCTCTCTTACTCTCTCTCTCTCACACACACACACACACACACACACACATACACACACACACACATTTACTTACATTTCTCCATGTCTGTATTTATATGTAAAAAATAACACTGATTTAAATGAAGCACTACTAGTAAAAGGTTTAAAAAGTGCTTTATGAATAAAGTGTATATTATATTACATATATATAACCCTCTTCCCTTGGTCATGGGTGTGAAGTGACACCTCGGACCCTCGCACAGGTGTGAGCCGGAAAGGGTCAAGTTCTCACAGCACTATACACACTTACGGAGTAAAGAATTATACATTTAAAGTTTCAATAGAAAAACCACAGTAGAGTTTTTCTGTCATGCTGAACTATTAGATGTCACAGCAAATGATTAAAAATATTCTCAAATTTGTTTTTAATTATATTCTCAATCGCAACTCACTGAAACGAACAGAGAAATTCTGTGGAAAGTGCAGATTCTAACCTTTTAATCCAAACCATTTGTATGTATAAAAAAAGAGGAAAGGCTTTATTGTAATTTGATTTTGATAAAAGGTTTTGCTCTGAAGAAAAAAGTTCATATGTACAGCTGTGCCACATTTTTGTTAGCCTTCTGACATCAAAACAAACAGAAAAAGTTGTTCAGATTTGAACAGTCTTACAGTACAGTAATTGATATGTAGTAATTACGTAATTACAGAAAATAATGCAGCAAAATAACCATAATAACTCTTGACTTCTAAGAATGACAGTGCAAGACATTTAAGGCAGAAATATGAGTTGCAGAGCTCAATTTGAAGAAAGAACCAAGGGAATACCATCCCCCCAGTAAAAAAAAGATAAAAAAAACTTCCCCTGCGTAAAACTGCAACCCCTCTATTTTCATCCCCTTTTGATTAAGATAATTAAAAATAAGAAGCCTAATATCCATGTAATAATACTCTAACTAATCACTGAATCAATCAAAGGGTTCCTTGCATCATGAGGGGGTTCTTCAGATTAATGGTGAATGTGCTGTAGATAGTTCTGTAGAGAACCTTTTTGAAAAGGGTTCTATATAGCACCCAAAATGGTTCTTCTATTGTTAAAAGCTTGACAGTGAAACAATAAGAAGAACCCTTTTGGTGCTACATAGAACCCTTTTCAAAAAGGTTCTATATAGAACCTTCTATAGCACATTCTTAAGGACCCTTTCATGATGCAAAGAACCAGGTTCTTTGAGTGTTCATGGTTCTATATAGAACCATTTTCTTTACTGAAGAACCCTCGAATGACAATCTTTTTTAAGAGTATATAAAAATGGACAGACTCTGATATCTTTATAATGGTGGTGATAGGAACCAGGAGTCATGACGTCTACAACACAAACAACAACCAACACAGCCACAAATATTTAATTTACTGTCCAAAACCAACAGTGAACCTACATGAGTCTTCTTTTTATATGTGTGATATTGATTATGGTAAATTAGTGGTCAATCTGAAAACTAGGTTTTGTTTGGGAACTATTTGCCCTGGAACACCCTGCTTGTACCCCTCCGCCATGAATGGATTCCCAAAATTAATTTTTTGGACAAAATCTTCTCAAAGCAATGTCTTAATGTTAAAGCATAATCTAAGGCCTCAGGCAATGTGTAATTTTTTTTGTAATACAGATTTTAGAGGCATTCCAAGCTTTTCACATGCTTTAGATGTCTGGCTCCTATCATCAACACTGTAATCAATTCTAATTTGGTAAGTTTCTCTAGAACGATGCATTTGCTGTCAACCATTCTGAGTGACACTGTACACATCTTCACCTTTGACACGTGCAGGAATTTTGAAAAATCAGTGCAGTTCCCCTTTAACTTAATCAGGCCACTCCTACTGCAGAGCAGCATGAAAAGGTCAAAGGCTGCAGCCTAATTTAGAGTTTGATTTCCTCAAACGTTGTTTAACACACGTCATAATGAGCTAATTAGCGCGTCCGCTCTACATCTTCACATCTCTAAGCGCTGTGTTGTGCCTCTGCAGATGAAAGAGCTCAGTGTGGATTCAGATCAGCTTTTGCACATCAAACTCATCTCACTGACTGACTAAACAAACCCGCAGCCTAATGACTCCACATCCATTCACACTGCACTGTTCTATGCATTTTAATGTAATCTTCTCACTCCAGAGCTCTGGGGCAGTGAGGGAGGTGTGTGTGTGTGTGTGTGCGTGTGGTGGGAGGGGGTGCGGTTGTGGCTAGACGCTGCAGTGTGAAGAAGCTCTACACACTCAGTTAAGCCTCATTAGTTACAATAAGCTTCTGACTCAATACACATTAAAGCTTTGATAAAGTGCACACAGAGAAGATCAGTGAATGAGAACTGTTTAAAGCTGTTGATCTTGGAGGAAAGTGCGTCTTTGCCCTTTAAAACACTGTGAGACATTAGAACAAATACAAATAAACATAAAGACTGAAGAGTTTTTTTTCAAAGTTATGTTCTCATTCTCTCACACACACACACACACACACACACACACACACACACATCATCTAAACCGCTTATCCTTCAATATGTATATATATATATATATATATATATATATATATATATATATATATATATATATTCACACACATACACTTCAATTCACTCCTAATCAGTTTATATTTTGCTGATTTTCAAAGTGAAAATAAGCTCAACTAGTTAATCATTTTTTTTTTATTTTGAGTCTTATTTAATTTCTCATTGTTTAAATCAGTCATTTGATAACGTGCAATGTAGCTCCTTCAGAATCTACACCGACAGTGATTTGAACAAAGTGGTAAAAGCTGATAAGAATGCAAACACATCAACACTGGAGAGATCTGAAGAGCTATTGGCTCTTATCAGTAAGCTCAGCAGATCAATCAACTGATCAATATGTTAAACAAGACAGAACAGCTTGTTTTTACCTTGTTATCTATGACAACTCTTCACACATCAGTTATGCTCTTTTACTTTAAAGGCCACTGAGAAGTGAATTAAATCACAAAAAACATGATAAGAAACAGGACTGGAGTGGAACTACAGCGATGCAGACACAGCCTGCATTTCGTTCTGTTTCTATA